TGCATGGGCATGAAGGGTATGGATTTCATTGGTGAAATTTCAAGTGTGAACTACTGTTTCTGAGGGGTTTCACCTGGAAACATTTTGTGGAGTTGCCTTTGGGACTGAAGGTCTGATGAATGCTGTTCTTAAAAACAAGTTTTTTGGGGGGATGTTCTTTTAAGTTACATTTTTTGTTGTGGTTTTCTGACTTCCCCTCCAAGAAGCAATTGTGGTGATTTGGAGTCCTCAGGCTACTGCAAAGTTTAGGCGTCTTTTAAAGCTGGCGTCTAAACTCCAGTCCATATGGAAGTTTATACAGCAGAGTTTAGGAAGTACTTGGGCCAAGCATCTTCTCTCCTGGGTTTTTGTCAGGATGTGTTAGTCAACCTCAATTTTTGTTAATTTTCTCTCACCCTGCATTAAAGCAATTACTGTATTTCACTGTGTGGTAAAAAACCTGTCACTTTGCTCCCTCTGCTTTGAAGTTGTGCCTCCAGTGTACTCTAAATTGTAACTGCCAGCATGATAGCTGTGTGCTCTTTTCCACCCCGTGCTGCCTTGCCTGCCATGGGTTTGGTGGGGTTGTTTTTTTTTTTTTGCTCTTCATATCAGATTTCAGACATGCTTTGCATGTGACTGATTAAGCTTAATGGATGTAATGTATAACTTTTAAAAATAGCTTTGTTGCATAAATGCACATTATGTATTGAGTTGGTAATGTATTAGAAGAAGAAAAATAACTGAGAAGTTATGACAGTTATTGTTTCCTTATTGAATTCAGAATGTTGTGAAGGCAATTTCCTTGACAGGATCAACTCCAGAGCACTTACTAGTATGCTGATTATTTTTTTCCTCTTAATCTACCTATGAAATACTCTTTACAAGCTTGAAATTGGAGATAATGACTACTTTATTTGCAAAGATGGCAGAACTTGGTTTTAACGATTTGTTCTCTGTACAGGAATTGTGTGTGTGGGGATAGAACAGCACAGGTTGTGTGACAAGTGAGCCACGATCCATTTTATTGGTTCCAAATGCAAAACCTGTGCTCCTAATTGCACAGGTTTGATTTGTCTTTAAAGTGGGACAAACTTGTGCTGTGCACTTTCAGTATCTGGGGAAATGAAAGGTAAGGCTTGGAAAATTCAGTCACTTTCTGTTGTTTCCCAAATCCTCTGTTTTGCAAACTCAGAGGTGATGGAAGCTTGATAAGCTGAGTTGTTTGGTCATACTTCTGAAGATCCTGGCTTTTTACAAAGAGAGCTTGAAGCTGGTACTTCTTATTAGCAATAAAATAAGACTGGATAGGTGTTCACTTCTGTTTACAGAGTGTTCTGTGGGCAGAAGAGGAGGAGATTTCTTAATACATGAAGTTCAAGTCTTTGGGTGGGTATTGAAAGTATTGAGAACATCTGAAGGTATTTACAGGAGGCCTGTGAGTGTCAGAAGATTCTAATGGTGGAACTTTACTGATGTGCCTAAATGCTTTAAGTCAATCTTATCAAAATAAGGCCTAGTGGTGTTCTGATTTCCAGTAGTCTCTGTTTTCCATCATTAGGCACTTATATAACTTTGCCAATCTGGCCCAGTCTGTTATAATACTGTTTTACCTCTCCTAGTTGCTGTGGCTTTGTGTGCAGGGAAACGTTTTGAGTAAAGTTAATTAGGGTGGTGACTAAAGTATAGTGTGTGTGTGGCTGTATTTTAGTTGCTATACGTACTTCAAAATTACTTCATGTTCTTTGAGCCTAAAGCTTTTTACTCTAAGGCAGCCAAACACATCTCCTGTTAAAAATGGTTGGATGTACAAGGTGCAGTTGTTATCTCACTCCTCTTTGTTCTCTCTGCTTTCTTGAGAGAAGATGAAACAAAATGCAGTGACAGGTAAGGATGTCTCACAAAACATGTAGGAGAAATGTAGCTTCCCATTCCATAAATTACTGGTACTCTGCTCACCAGCTGCCTGTTATGATGTTTTATTGATGAATAAAAATGGTGTCTGAGGCAATAGAATGCCTTGCATCTTACAATACTGCCAGTTATAAAGATGTCTTCTTGAATAAATTTCACAATTAGAAAGTATTGACAAAAATATTCAATCTTTTTTACATCAAAATAAGCTCAAACATCTGCTGCCAAAGTCAGACAATATCAAGTAATCTTTAAAGAGTATACTTTTATTATACTGACAGATGCATGGCTGCATGACATAGATGTCAATTTAAGTTACTAGTGCCATTAATACTTGACAAAGACATGCTCCCAGAAGAATTTACGTTTTTAAAATGTTGTCAGATGAGTATATGCCAACAAGAAGTACCCAGAGTTATTCAGCTATGTTGTTAACAAAGCTAAAAGTGTGTTATCTCCAGAGACATCACAAAAATTGCTATTCACATCTTCCCTATTCTCTACATTCCACAGAACTGACAGCAGAAAAACTACTTCTGTGCCTGCAAATGTCTGTTTAACCAACCCATACACATATCCTTCTTCACTTTTGGTTATCAGCACAGAAAGATTTTCAGTTTCGTTTGAGGTGAACTTCATCATTTGTTTGCTCTCCACTAAATTTCAAATAACCTCAGTTTTGGGCAAAGAACATTGTTGTAAAGAGAACAGTGAGGAAAATGTTAATACCTGTGCCAGAGTTTCTGATCTGCTTATTCAGTCAAAAAAGTGTTGGAAATGTGTATGATGTAACTCATTAAGAAGGCTGAGATTTACAACCATTTATGTCCAGTTCTTTGTCAAATACACTGGTGTATTCATTATTAAAATTGGTGCACTTTAGTAACTTGAGTTTTCATTGTGGGTATTCCATAATGAGCAACTAAGATTACTTTAAATTCTTTCCTTCCAGGTTTTCTTTTCTTTTCTTTTCTTTTCTTTTCTTTTCTTTTCTTTTCTTTTCTTTTCTTTTCTTTTCTTTTCTTTTCTTTTCTTTTCTTTTCTTTTCTTTTCTTTTCTTTTCTTTTCTTTTCTTTTCTTTTCTTTTCTTTTCTTTTCTTTTCTTTTCTTT